ATGTATGCAAATTAGATTTCCAAACGAGCAACTGTTGAATACAGGAAAAAATTTATATTATATGGTTCCGCTAAAGTGCACTACTATCGTGTATAAATAGGTCGACCTTCTAATAAATCAAGCAATCTAATTGTATCGTCATCGCCGCCAGTCACCAACATCATTATCCGACGACGAATGCACTGTATTACCTCGCCTTCAGCTATGTCAAGCATCTTAACGCGGTTACAACTTAATGCTAAAGCCACCAGATTACCGTCTGGATGCCATGCCAGCTGTCGTCCCATACCTCTTCCCACGGTGAACGTTCGCACACATTCGCCTGAAAATGTATCGCAAATTCTTAACTTGTCATCCCCGCACGATGAAATTAACTTACCATTAGGGCTGAATATTGCTGCGCGCACCCATTTGTGTGTCCAGTGAAAGGTGGGTATTTTGAATCAGTATTTTGATGGCTGTTCGCCATTCTTCTAGTCTGCAAACGAATAAGCTGACGAAGATGCAAACAAATTCAAGCGCATTGTTGCATTCTACCGTACTTTTTAAAAGCTTTAAAATCTTAAAACATATGTGAAAAACTTTTATAATCTGAATATTTCTAATGTCGCAATCAAAGCGAAATTTTGTAAATAGCATTTTTAAAAAGCAATCATTTAATATTTTTCAAGTTTTTGGGCATATATGTTACCATTTGAACAACAAATACTACCAAGTTTTAAGAGACTATTTAATGCAACTCAGGTCAAAAAAGAGCAGTTAAGACCAAAAAAAGCAACTCTAAAAAACATATGATCGCAGCTGTGGCCCAGGATGACGTCTATTGCTAAGATATCTCACTTGTATTTGTACACAATGTTCATAAGTACGAAAGCACTGATGTTGAATTTTATGACGATTTCGATATTGTGCACTGGTGGGACGGTCATAAAAATGATTTCCCAATTTTATATAAACTGAGCTGTCGAATTTTAGCAACTCTGGCATTCTCAGCTCCTTTTGAAAGAGCATTTTCCGTCGCCCGAAATATTATCACTGAGAAACGTTGCAGTATTAGTTGTAATGACAGCGCAATAAACAGGATAATGTTCCTACATTCAAGCATTGGTTAAAAGTATGTATGTATATTAAAAAAATTTGAATTTACATTCTGTATATGTATGTTTCACGATTATAAACAACTCACATATTGACAAGTTTTGCCTATACATTTTTTTAAATTATTTTATTTCAATTACTTTTTATAAAAATATAGTTTATTCTTTAAGAAAAATCATATAAATCCAAACTTGCCCTTTGAGCTATATTAAGAAAAAATTAACAATTTTTCGTAAAAATATCGAGCTCTTTTATTAGTTTACTTAGAATAATCTTAAGTATGCAGTTTTGTAGCCCATTCAATTTTAGTACAATGAAGTGCAAGTTTGCAAAGCAAGACTTACCATTGATATTGGTAATTTTTTTTTTGTTGAAGCTGTTGGTCATTTTCTCCATATAAAAAGAATCGTGTTAACATACTTCGTATGGAAGAAATGACTGACACCGTCAATAAATTCCAAAATATCAACTGTATGTTCGTGCTACTTCAAACTTGCACTTTATTCTATTAAAATTGAATGGGCTAGTAAGCTGCATATCCAACCAAATCTAATGAAAAAGCTAGAAATTTTTATGAAAGTTTGTAGAATATTTAATATTGCAAAACGTTTAAATCTTGCATTGCAAAACTTTTCAATAAATGGTTGGCGTATACATACATAATTATTTTTTTTGAAAACCATTCTTTTGTTAATTTTATATTTTCTTTCCTTAAATATTTAATCTGGAATATTATACCCATTTTCGTTTAACAAATAAACTATACACATTTCTTTAACATTGACTAGTTTTCAAAACTTTATTCATTACCTTATTGCAGCAAAGGCGTTCGCTGAAATAAATACATACATATGTATGTACATATGTATGTGCATATATATTGTATATTTTTAATCAAATAACGTAGTAGTAAGGGCAAGCATCAACAATATCTTTGATGTAAATACAAATGTATCTACATGTGTGCATAAGCACATAAATAGCATAACCCAAACACCAACAATCAACAGCTCTATGAAAATACTCAAATACTCGCAAGCACAGTACACTGCTTGCGGATATTCTTCAGTCGAGGTAACTGTGTTTGCAAAGCCAGTACTTCTTTTCTTGCTATTGATCGGGTTTTTACTTACGCATACTCCAAGCGGTTTGTGTTTGCCCGCACTCAACAAGAGAATGGAGAGATAAAGAGAGTAGATAATTGCGCTGCTAACAAATGTCTTGTTGGGCAACTCAAATGTATCCGTGCAGTGTTTTATTATGTATGTATGTAAATTTATTTTCATTCCCGTTTGCAAATAGCGTGAAGTTCCAACTATGTAAATAGCATATATAGGGTCCGAAAATTAAAAAGGTTCAAGTTCGTTTGTAAGCCCACGTGAAGTA